GGAGAATTAAGGACAGTTCTATTAGTTTATTGTTATTTGTTTAATTATTTATTAGGGGTAATTCAGAGTCGGCAGTTCACTGCCGTTCTGATATTTATATTTAATTTAATTTAGTGTACTTGTTATTTTGTACGGAGCTCCATTCGCCTGTATAATGGGCCATCCATATTGGTGAAATAAATGTATGACAGGCAAGACTTGCGTTTTCGTTAGATACGGTTTTCCCATCGTATAACCTCACAAACGTCAACAATATTTGCCGGATGTTGACAGCAGACGACGTTAACAAAACAGCACGCGGCAAAAAGCGCGTGAAAAAAGTCGTCCGGTCAAGGTTCATCATCTCGACCAATCGAAACTACGGAAGGTCATACACCACGTGTGGTGTATAACTCATATTTATTCAACAGTCTGCAGTATACAATGATCAGCGTAATGTGGTAAACTTATATTAGCCTCCGCTTTCCTCTGCTTTCCCCCGCGTTCACCAAAGCGGGGGATATACATTTGGGTTTGTCCGTCTGTCTGTCCGTCCGTCCGTCCGTCTGTCTGTCTGTCTGTCCGTCTGTCTGTCGCGCTTCGTTTCCGTGCAATAACTACAACAAATGTTATGCCTTACGAGCTCGGCCAAGAACAGTGACCACTTTCAGCGGACCCCATTTTGCGGAGGTATGGCCCCTTGAATAACGAAAAAATCAAATTAAAAAATCACAAAACACCAGGAGTATTTAAGATTAAGGTTAAAGCTAGTATGATATTCACATCCATTTATTATCATGAATAGTTTAATCAGTTACGTTGCAAACCAAAACTTGCAACTCTCACGCCGGAAATGACCATTTTCATTGCACATGCGCGCTGGCAACATTCACGGGACTTAGGGTTAGGGTTAGGGTTACTCTCACCTACACCGTCATTATCTGCCGTTTCTGTTCATTAACTTTCTCAAATATTATCCGATTGTCTTCAAACTTAGTAAAAGGGTTCAACGCATTAAGGGCTCGGCCAAGTTTGACAACCACTTTCATCAAACTACATTTGGCAGAATTATGGCACCTTGATTATCTGCAGTTTACGCTTAATAACTCTAGCAAATATTAGTCAAATTCTTTCAAACTTGATAACAATGTTTCTGTTCCTTTGTCTTCCACCCATCTCAGGCACTCTTTGGTTTTCGTGTGATATTTGCTGTAGATATTGCTCAGATGTTTCAACCAAATTCGTATGCACATCCGACTCATGCTAAGTTTGCCAACCGATGTGATTTGTGCATATTTACGGATAATCAATGAGGTATAGGGCTATTTTTCCCTTCAAGTTTTAAGCTAAACATTTTGTCTCAACAGCACGATACTCACATGTTTAAACCTAACCTCAATAATGTTAACCTACAATATGTCCTGCAAGCGGGGGATATACATTCCACGAGTTTGCTTGTTATATGTATAGCTAGGTTTATATTACATTAGGTTAAGAATTAGTTATTTTAGGAATTAGAAATTATTTTGTAAACTGTTAATTGTTTAGGGGATAGTACATTGTTTTGAGTGGCTATACTGGCGATTAGAACATGAAATTTGAGTTTGAACTCGAGACCGATTTCTGTTCTGTTGCCTGATGAATAGACGTTACTGTGGGGTGTAGTTGCTAAGGAAATCCGCCATCTTGGATATGGTTGCTAAGGCTAGCAACCATCTTGGATCCAAGATGGCGGACTTCCATAGCAACTACACGACCCTGCGGCCCACAGTTACGTCCCTTCATCATATGTGTGTTTTGATCGTGACGTCATCATTTTTGAGGTACTGACAGAGTTATCGGCCCTGTATATGTATTAAATACTTTCCTTCTGTGTTTTAGGTATGCACGGTAATAGGACTACACTAGGTCGCTGGGCCCTATGAGAAAGAAGAAGAAGAATGAAACAGAATGCATTTCACTGTACATATACTCAATAAATATTAATAGACAATCTCTATCAGTTCTTCTGGTTTTTTCTGCTGCTGCTTTACATTCTGTAGACTGTTTGCAATCATGTCTCCGTGAAAATGAGGGACTCTGTTTCTCACAATAATGCGTTATTTACAATATAAATAAAATTCACGGCATATTTACGGTGTTTTCGAGTGTGGTATTAAATCGAGATGAACTTTCTTTTCGTGTAGGAAGTGAGTGTGTCGGTGCTGTAGCAGAAAGTGCAAGTCGATATGCG